TGAGGGCCACAAATTAGTCCTGTACCCTCCTCCAGCGCCACTCTGTTCCCCTCGCCCACCCAATCTGCTGCTCTGATTTCTGCTTCCTGTACTGTGCCTCCTTGCCTGGTCCACTGCTCTCCTTTCTGCTCCATGCCTTATCTGCCACCGTCCCCTCCCCAATCTGCCATTTGCTACACACAGGGGCTGCCTCTGCCGTGCGTTCCATGATCTAGGGTCTGAGTTGAAAATACGGCCAGTCTTCTGCCATTCAGTAGACAAAGTCAGAGCCTTGTAGCTTGGTTTCCTATTAGAAGAGAAATCAGTGAGGTGAGGCTCTTTGCGGAACATATCTTAGTTATACTACCATGCCCCAGGCATTGTACGGAGATGATTAGACAGCACGCAGGTAAAAAGTGATATAGAGGCATGAGGTAATAGAATTAATCTATCACACTCTCCTTTTTCTTGCACCTCATCTTAGATGTTTCTGAGGCACAGGACAAGGGTTTAGCCTTTTTAAAAAGCATCACAAAGTTAAATTTACATCATGTAAATTGAAATTAATTCTATAATGTTATTCTTAATAATTCACAGGCAGCTTTAAGGACAGAGTATCGGACCATTTCTAAGCAAATATATTTAACATATGCAAAACCACTGTAAATAGCGCTCAGACTATTTATCAAAAGCTATTAGGTAAATGGGATGATGCAGTTGGGGATGGGATTTTATGGCTGGGGATGGTTCCGTTTTGAGCAGGGGTTGGACTAGATGCCCTCCTGAGGTCCCTTCCAACCTTAATTCTCTATGGCTGTATGATATACCTACTGGGTTTTATATACCTACCTTTCCTACATATTCAACATAATATTTACACCTCTCGACTTTAGTGCACACAGTCTTCTCTGATCTTTTTTGAAAAAGAATTTATTTTCAGTATCCACCACATGGCTTCAGCATGCAGCATGTGTCACTTGGACCATTCAGACCTTCAGAATGAGTCTCTTGGTTTTTTTCCAGACCCTTTGGTATCCTTTCAGCAAGCCACTGCTTGGAGTCTGCACAGCTAACTGCATCCCAGCCATCAAGTTAACAGTCAACTGGTTCTCCTTCTTATAGAAATCTGTAGTCTGTATCCTAAGTGGTACAGGTGTGGGGACATTTATAAAGCTACCCCTCTGTAGGGCACTACCCTTTTCTCCATAAACCCATATATGTCCAATAAATTGTCACAAACCCTCATCTTTCTTTTTTTCTCTATAACTGGAATAAAATCATTTAGAATAAATAAATTAATAAATAACTGTTAGCTTCCAGGGCCAAGTAGCCAATGGGATTAAAATATTCCCCTTCCACCTTGCTCTCTAGTTCAATAAAACATACCTCAGTTGACCAAAGTTTATTCTGATGTCGCACTTATCTAGTAAATAAAGTGGGAATGCCATTTGCCTGTGGCCAAAGTGGTGCAGGTATGGGGACCTAGTCCTTGCAGAACACATCTCTTGGTCTTATATCAATCGGCCCTTGAGTCTGCAGAGTTGTCTCTAACTTCTGTGTTAATCCTTGGCCCCACCCCAACCTCTGCTTGACTCAGTTCTCACATGGTCAAATGGTAATGCACGTATGGTGTGTAATCCTGGACTCTATATTTTAAGAAGGGTGCAGAGAGTCTGAAAAGCATTCAGAGGTGAGCAACAAAGTTGACAAAGGGTTTGGGATGAAAGTTGTGCAAGAAAAAGCTGAGAGAACTAGGGATGTTTAGTTTGGAGAAGAGGAGATGAAGGGAGGATATGATAAGCCATTTTCACATACTTGCCAAGCTGTTATAATGAAGGAGAACAACTGTTCTCGTCACCAAAGGCAGAGAATGAAGCAATAGGATTAAACTGGAGCAAAGCAAATCTCAGTAAAAAAAGAGTCTTAACTTTAAAAGCAGCAGAATAATGGAACAAGCTGCCCAGGTTGGGCCTAGCTAGCCTTTGAGGTCCCTCCACCCAGTGGCCCTGTGATCCATGACCCTGATTGCATTCTAACATGTGAGAGCTGCAAGTCTAATTGTCCTAAATGAAAACTTCCGACAGAGTTTCAGATATACCCCGATGAAAATCCACATCTTCTCCCCACTGCTCCGCCTTCATTCTTTAAGCCAAACTCATCAAATGCCGCAAGATAAAGCGTGTAGGTCGTGGAGGCAACCCCTTCAATCAGGAATCTCAGCCAATGCATTAATGACTCTGCAGTGGAGAGATCAAGGTTAACAGAATGTTTTTCTGCTGTTTGCAACAGCTCCCTTAAAAAGGGAATTCATCATAAAACTAACAGTGCTGCATTTTCCCAAAGGCTGGATAGTGCTTGCAGGCTCAGAGAAATCAGTATGTGGAACAGCCCCACCTGCTGGCTCTGACAAGGTTTTCTTGTACTGAAAGTGCACTAGAAAAATCTCTGTTTGCTCTGCACATTCCTGCATGACTATTTACTTTTTTTTTTCTCCATTTTCTGTATATTCACTCATAATCATCACTTTTTTTATTTCTGCAAAAATATGAAGAAACGGCTGTTTCCCTGTGAAAACGTGCCTGAGGAAATCAGCCAATTTATGTCGGCTGGGTTAAAGAGACACTCAGAGCCTTGCTGAAGAGGAAGGATGCTCTAGCTTAGGACTTTGGAGATACGAGTTAAGTTCCTGTTCTGCCACAGGCTTTCCTTTATGACCTTTGTCAAATCACTTTGTCGTTCCCATGCAGAAGCAGGGGAAATACTAACTCTCTGTCTCCCCGGGTTGTTGTAAGGAGAGTTACACCAGAACTGCAAGGAGACTGAAGGCTTCGGTGATGAACGGCACAAGCACCCAGGAATGATTGGCACTTCAATGCATAATTTATCAAAATAGCAGACGTTGATATATATAAATACTAGATGCGATTTGACTGACTCTATCTTCCAGGAGTCACTTGTCATCTTAAACTCCAGGGTGGGGACTGTATTTTCCTATGTGTTTTCTGCATCTTGCACAACAGTAACCACTAGCCCCAGCTCGACTTGTGTTTCTCTGTGCTACAATAGAAATATCAAAAAAAATCAGTTATAATGAATATTATTGTGCTATTTCACAGAAATCGACATTCTTCACCAGTGAGTTCATCTTCCCTTGCCAAAGGCCACACATCTTTCTGAAAGCCTCAGTCCAGCCAGAACCATGACTCACAGCTCCAATGAGCATTTACATCCCAAACAAGGGTCAACAGCCCCACACTGCTCCCTAACTCCTGCCGGGGGATCTGTTTGGTACTGACCAAAATCAAGAACTACTGTTAGTCACCATACCCACTTCTGCAATGAGCCAGTTTTTGCAGAGACATCTCTCCACCAAGTACTGACACAGCTGAGTTTGAAATCAGATGAGATCACATGCTAAAGTCAGTGCTCACAGCAGAATCAGTCAAGTGGCCAGGGGAGTCGAAAATCAGTTCCCTCGTCTGTTTTTTCTTTTGTCACTTGTCTACCATGCTAGGCCTTGGTGCTGCAGAGAGAAAACACAGTCAACAGTTCAAATGATACTTAACTTTAATTATTTAGAAACCATTAGGAGCCTCAGAGGTACTCCTCACAAGCACGTTTTAGCTGGAAGGATGGGTTGGAGCTCATGTCTGACCATTCAAGAAAGAAAATAGTGGATGCCTGTTTGCTAAATTCGTATCTTCCCTTATACAGTAACCATTTTATTCAGCAAAAAAGCATTCACCTTTATAGAGACTCAGACAAGCTACTGGGATTTTATTTCAATGGTAATAGGTAATATTAATAGATAATATGAATAAGTTATCTACTACACTGTCTGTCTAACCTGCTCTTGAAAAAGTCCAGGGATGGAAAGTTCACAGCTTCTCTAGATCAGCATTTCTCAACCAGTGGGTCATGACACAGAAGTGGGTCACAAGAATCTATGAAAGGGGTGGGGGAAAAAACTTTAAAAATGGTTCAACAAACTTTAAAAATGAATTTTCTTTTAAAGGAGAAAAACGTGGGAAACTGGGTTTTCCCTTGAGGGCTGGCAGAGCCCCATGCCTCACTCCCCCACCACACTGCAGGGCTGAGGCCTGGGTGCAGAGGGCAGTGGGTCAGGAGTGAGGGGCACCAGCAAGGCCAGGGAGCTGTTTTTGACTTAAACTATTTGCATGGTCAGGGCTAGCCATCTATGTTTACAAATGGGTCCTGGTACAAAAAGGGTTTGAGAACCACTGCTTTAGGTAGCCTGTTCCAGTGCTTGTCAACTCATTGTCAGAAAGCTCCTGCCTAGGGACGTTGTGGAATCGCCATCACTGGGGATATTTAAGAGGTTTGATAAGCCTTAGTCAGGCATGATCTAGGACTAGCTTTGCCTATACTCTACTGTGGGTATTTCACAGGCCTGTGGGCTTTGCTTCTTGCCACATGGGGCCAGGAAGGAATTTTTTCCCCTCCTATTTCTATATATGTTAGGGGGAAGTTGTTTTGGGTTTTTTGTTTGCTTTCATTTTTTTCCTTCCACAGAAACATTGGGTGTTGGCTGCCACGGGTGGGTATTTCAACTGGGGTATGCCAATTCTACTGCTGAGACTTAAACCAGGAGGTTCCTAGCTAAAGTGTTTTGCTCCTCTGCTCAGGGTCAGACCAATTGCCACATTTGGGATCAGGAAGGAATTTTACCCCGCAGTCAGATTGCTACATACTGGGTGCATCTACATGAGATGTTAAATGCACAGTAAACTGATTCTACTGCGCATTAGCGTGTCACGGCAAAAGCCGTGCTAATACACTAGTGAGATTTAGCATCACTTAAAAGGTGTGTGCCGGCTACTGCACAGAGCTGGTTTCTGGGCAGTGCTTTGGTACCTGGTAATACAGGTACTAAACTTAATGCTCAGATGAGTTAATAAACGTGTAGATGCACCCACTGTGAGGCGTTTTGCTTTGCTCTGAAGCCATGGCTGTTCCCCTTCCTTACCTGTGACAGGTCAGGTTCGATTGTGTCATTAGCAATAGGTTAGACAATGGATTTGTATAGGATGGTTTGGATAGAGATGATCCTACCTCTGGCAGGGAGTTGGTCTAGATGATCTCCGAAAGTCCTTTTCAGCCCTATATTTCTATGATTCTACAAATCTCCAATCTAAATTGCAGCTTGAGGCCACTGTTCCTAGTCCTGTCCCTTACAGCCCCAGAGAATAGTCTAGCTGCATCCTCTCTATAACTGCCCTTCAGGTATTTGAAAATCATTATCAAATCCCTCTTTAGTTTACTCTTCTCCAGACTAAATAACACAAGTTCTTTCAGCCTTTTCTCATAAGCCATGATTCCCATGCCTCTAATAATTGTTGTCATTCTCCACTGGACTCTCCATACCATCTTGAACTTAGACACAGTACTCCAAGTGAGGCCTTACCAGTGCTGAATAAAGCAGAAAAATCACTTTTCTTGATTTGCAATTCACACTCCTGTTAATGCAACCAAGTATGCTGTGGCCTTTCTTCTTTTTCTTCTCCTTCCTTTTTTTTGCAACAAAGCACGCCATTGGCTCATATTCAGTTTATGGTCCACTGTAACCCCCAGGTCCTTCTCTGCAGTATTGCACCCTAGTCAATCATTCCCCTAAACAAAAAGGAAGGAAGGGCATGTGCTATGTATTATCATCACTGTGTTCCTTTAATAAGCTTTGGCAGAAGGCAAGGCAGATTGTTTGCAGTCCACTGGAGGTTAGTCTGAGGGGAAAAGGAGTCCACGAGAGCTGGTTGTATTTTAAAGAAACCTTACTGAGGGCACAGGAACAAACCATCCCGATGTGCAGGAAGAACAGCAAATATGGCAGCCAGCCAGCTTGGCTTAGGATAGATGACCAGGGAGGAGTATAAGAGTATTGCTTGGGCATGCAGGGATGAAATGAGAAAAGCCAAAGTGCAACTGGAGTTGCAGTTAGCAAGGAGCATGAAGAGTAGTAACAAGGAAGGTGTCTAGAAGTATGTCAGCAACAGGAGTATAGGTTGTAGCTGTGTTGTCTAAGGACATAGGAAGACAAGGTTGTTTGGGTAAATCTAATATCCTTTACTAGACCAACTCAAATAGTTGGAAAAAATTATTTTTGACAAGCTTTTGGGCACAAACACCCTTCATCAGGCTGAGGAAGCATCTGCAGTTGGTGTGTGCTCTTTCTGGCTGGAATGAATAGTAAAGAAGCCAGAGGATGGTATGCATGCAAGAAAGGCATTCAGTGACAATGCAAATAGGAGTCAATGGGTGAGAAACAGGTTGGGGGGATGGGTGAAGGGGAATGAATATAGCTGGTAAATAATGGAGAGGTACCTGGGAAGTCAGATGTTAGGCAGGTTATAATGTGTCATACATCCAATGTCTATATTTAGTCCATGTTTTTTTGTATCCAGTAGGTTAATGAAGTGAAGTTTGTAGGCTCATCTGTGAAAGGTGTTTTGTAAATTTCCTTTGAGGATTAGAACTGAGAGATTGAAGAGAAAGTGGTTTTCTTGTGAGAAATGTGCCCCCACAGGTAACTGGGTCTTTGACAGATTTCCAGTATGTGTTCATTCTGGTACGCAGAGTTTGGGTGAGTAGCCCTCAGTGGTGAAAGAGCAGGTTACGGGTTACTTAGAAAAGCTGGATGTGTACAAGTTTCCAGGGCCAGATGCAATGTGTTGAGGGAGTTGGCTAATGTGATTGCAGAGCCACTGCGCATTATCTTTGAAAACTCATGGTGATTGGGGGAGGTCCCAGACAATTGGAAAAAGGCGAATCTAGTGTCCATATCTAGGAAAAGGAAGGAGGTTCCAGAGAACTACAGACCAGTCAGCCTCACCTCAGTCCTCAAAAAAATCATGAAGCAGATCCTCAAGGGATCTATTTCTAAGCACTCAAAGGAGAAGAAAGTGATCAGGAACAGTTTGCCTGGAGTCACCAAGGGCAAGTCATGCCTGACCAACCTGATTGCCTTCTATGATAATATGACTGATTCCGTGAATTCAGGGAAAGCAGTGCACACAATATACCTTGACTTTAGCAAGGCTTGTGATACAGTCTCTCACAGCATTCTTGCAAGCAAGCTAAAGTACTGGTTGGATGAATGGACTGTAAGGCGGATAGAAAGCTGGCTGGATCATCAAGCTCAATGGATAATGATCAATGGCTCAATGCCTAGTTGGCAGCTGGTATCAAGTGGAGTGCCCCAGGGGTCAGTTCCGGGACCAGTTTTGTTCAATATCTTCATTAATGATCCTGAAGATGGGATGGAGTGCATCATTAGCAAGTTTGTGGGTGATACTAAGCTTGGGGGAGTAGTAGATATGCTGGAGGGTAGGGCTGAAATTCAGAGTGACCTAGACAAATTGGAGGATTGGGCCAAAAGAAATCTCATGAGGTTCAACAAGGACATATGCAAAGTCCTGCTTTTAGGATGGAACAATCCCATGTACCTCTACAGGCTTGGGACCAACTGGCTAAGCAGCAACTCTGCAGGAAAAAGACCTGGAGGTTATAGTGGACAATAAGCTGGATACAAATCAGCAGTGTGCCCTTGTTGCCAAAAAGGCTAACAGCATACTGGACTGCGTTGGTAGGCGTGTTGCCAGTAGGTCAAGGGAAGTGATTATTCCTCTATATTCAGCACTGGTGAGGCCACATCTGGACTACTGTGTCCAGTTTTGAGGCCCCCACTACAGAAGGAATGTGGACAAATTGCAGAGAGTCCAGTGGAGGGAAACAAAAATGTTGAGGGATCTAGGACACATGACTTCTGAGGAGAGGCTGAGGGAACTGGGCTTATTTAGTGTGCAGAAGAGAAGACTAAGCAGAGATTTGATAGCAGCCTTTAACTACCTGAAGTGTGGTAACAAAGAGAATGGAACTAATCTGTTCTCAGTGGGGACAGATGATAAAACAAGGAGCAATGGTCTCAAGTTGCGGCAATGGAAGTTTAAGTTGGATACAAGGAAAAACTCTCACTAGGAGGGTGGTGAAGCACTAGAACAGGTTGCCTAGAGAGGTGGTGGAATCTCCAGCCTCAGAGATTTTTAAGGTCTGCTACCATGGCCTGGCCTACAAGTACTTAATTATTTGGACCAAAAATACCCTCCAGGCATCATCTTAAGAAAATTCTATGAACAGCTCCTTTATGAACGTCATGGGGAAGAAGAGGAAAGAATGTCAATGTCCCTCTGAAGCATCCACAGTTCTTATAAATTAGTGTGCAAAGATATACCCTCAAGTATATCAGAGACCAAGGTCTTGAGAAAAGTCACAGAAGGATTCCCTAGAGTGACCAATGTGGCTGTATTACCAGATTGGGTGGATGCAATAAGTGGGCAGGACATGACAGAGTGGGCATCCACAGCAGCAATGGAGATGCAGTGTAAACATATTCTGTCACTACTAATTCTAATTCAGCACCCCATGTGTACTAATTCAGCACCCCTTGTCCCCCCGTAATCACCTGTTTAGTGTCACTCCTTCACATAGTGTCTGAATGAGGCAACATTACTCAGTGGATAAGGCACTAGACAGGACACAGACAACATGGGTTGGCTATTGGCCTGCTAGATAACCTTAAGGCAAATCACTTCTGCTCTATGCCTCAATCTTCCCATCTTTAAAATGGGGTAACATAATGCTAGAGCCCTATGAGAGCCAGTAGGAAAAGGGTTATATAAAATCTAGGCTTTATTGTTACTAAATCCTAGATTGCAAATAGGGACTTTTCTTTATACTATTTGTGTGTACAGCAACTAGCAAATTTGATTCCAATTACTGCTTGGGGTTCATAAGCATTATTAGGATAGAATAATTAATCATAAGTACACATGAACCAGAAAGTGAAACTGTCTGTAAATAGACCAAGGCAATTTACAGCCATAAGGAAAAAAGCAAGCAAACAGTAGGAGTGGACAAATATTCTGGATATGTATAGAGCTTTCAGTTTTAAATTAATAATATATTAAGAAAGATATAGGGCTAGAAGGAAAGAATCACTGTGCTTTCAAGAGTCTCTCTCTCTCTGTTTTGAAAGCGAGAATGACAGTGCCAAACTCCTGTGCCTTATCTAAAGTGTTGTATCATCCATGCTTTTGCTATTCATAGGTCCAGTTTGAGTTTCATGGGCATGTTTTAATACTTCCATGGTTCACCACATAATGGTCTTGTCATTAGTAACCAGAACCCTTTCACAGAGCTGAATTTTATTTATTTTATTTTATAAAGTGCCACTTTTTCTAGCGATTTATTGTTAGAAACTGAACACCTTGCCGGGGTCGTTTGACCCCAGTAATCTTTCCTGTCATGGCAGGGGGTCGGACTAGATGATCTACTCAGGTCCCTTCCGACCCTAGAAACTATGAAACTATGAAACCTATTTTAATCTTTCAATTTGTACCAGTTACCACACTGCATGTGGCATGGGTAGTAAGTGTATGCTATATTTTTTCTGATGTTCCCCCCCACATTTGAAGAAATCATTACTTTTTTCATATGGAATTGAGTTACAATGATATTTTCCTGCTGGTCTTTTACTGACATTATTTGGCACTGTGACATGTAATTGCCTGAGTCTACACATGCACAGCAATTAGGGTGCAGTAGACTAATTTACTGCACTGCACGGATAGTCCCATCAGGTACAAGTGGTATCCTGCAGAGCGGTCAATTACTACGCTTAATCACACGTGTAGACATCGGGCTTGGTTTACTCCAGCTCAAATTGCATTGGAGCACATTCAGCAACATTAATTGCATGTGTAGACGTGCCCATTGCCCACCTTGTGGTAAAATAAGCCAGGTTCATTTTTGATGGTTGCTGTATAGTACACCATGATAATAAGGCACTAGATCCCAATACCCATCAAAACAAAAATAAGGGGAGTAAAGTTGTACAACAGCAAAAGAAAATTAAGGAAAACAAGAGAAATAAGTGGTCCTCTATTTTCAAGGCCTAATGTATCTTATCTTTGCACACAATTGCTATAGTTAGCACACTTATTAGTTTCCTGGGATGTCTTGTTTGTTTCCACCAGACGGAAGTAATATAAAATTATGTAAATCAACTTTACTTGAAGTAAAGAATCATGGACCA